TTTCTGGGAGCTTTTAAGATTTTTTTCTCCCCCTTTAAAAGAAATTTTAAGGGACTGAGGAGATGGCTCAGTGGAATAAGTGCTTCCCTGGCAAGCACAAGGGCTTGAGTTCAATCTCCAGTCAAAAAAAAAAAAAAAAAAAAATTATCTTGTGATTGGCATAAATTTCTTTGGGTTTAAACTTGTTGGTTCTCACAGGTCTTACATATTTAGGTAACTCAATTTCTGACCTGCATAGACCTTTTGGGAAATATATTTTCAGTACATAAATACTTTTTTTCCTCTCTTAGTACTAGGGATTGAACCCAGGGTCTCTGCACTGAGCTATATCCTTGACCCTTTTTTTAAGAAATGTTTTTATTTTGAGACAAGACTTGCAAAGTTGTCCTGTTTGGGCTCAAATTTGGGATCCTTCTGCCTCAGTCTTCTGGAGTACTAGATTAGCACGGGCCACCAGATCTGGCTATGAGTACATATTTTATATGGCATCATGTTGTGGATATTGTTTTGTTAGGCATTATTTTCCCACATGTTTTCAGCTCTCTACTTTCTCCTTCCTTGTTCTCTGATGGTATGATTGTTAGATCTGTTACTGTTGTCCTGTGTACAGGTTCCTGAAGCTGTATTTATGTTTCAGTCTGTGTCTTTTCTTATGTGCTTCTGTGTTGCTAGAGAGTGAGGACGGAAGACAGGAAGGGCATCTGCCCCGGTCACTTCATGGCCACTGCAAAGAATGGGAGTGGAGATTATAGCTCCTTGGTCGGGTGGGCGGGGGTACCTGAAGCAGAGGGGAGGGATGTCGCCCCCTCCCTGCATAGGAGGGGTGTGAGTCAGACCTGGCCACATCCTCTGCTGGGGGCAGAGGGCCATCTGGTCCTTGCAGATGAGAATGAAAGACAGGGATGGAGGCATATGTGTCCAGGCTATGGTTCCTGGTGAGTGAAGTGTGTATGTGTGTGGGAGGGTAAGGGGTAGGTTTTTTGGTAGTGTTTGCTTAAGAGTAGTAGGGCAGGGATGGTGGAAGTGTTTCTGACCTGCTTGATCACTCTTTTGCCAGTACTTAGGCTAGGAAGTTTCTTGGAGCCTCTCATGTCCCTGGCCATGAGGACATCTCTTTGAGACCTCTGAATCCACCTACTAACTATATAAGGAGTTTTTTTAAAAAAACAATTCATTAGGTTGCTCATGAGTCTTAGGTCTAGCTAGTCTCTTATCCTCACTTTTTGGAGTCTCCAGTTAGTTGAACTTTAAATTTTGAGCACATTTTTAATTTTTCAATTTGGCTATTAGTGGAAGGAATGATATGGAATATGTATATTTCATTATTTCATGAGCCAAAAGTTAGATAACTTTTAAAACTTTCTATGTACTATATTAGTTCTCATTGTTATTTTCCCTTTAGTCTCACCAAGCTTTAACTCAATATGGATGTGAATTTTTACTGCCTTTTTTTCTTGAGAATCATACAGATAGTTGAAATATGAGGTAGGTAGCATGGATTGCCCATGCTACCTGTTAAGGTCAGTGGTAAATTTATTTGACTTTTTAGAAAGCTTTTTTTTCTTTCTTCCTTCCTTTCTTCCTTTCTTTTTCTTTCTTTCTTTTTTTTTTTTGTAAAGAAATAGTGTAGAGTTTATTATGGGAGACAAAGATGACGAGCTGGAGAGTATAGTTTGAATTGGGTTAATTTAATTTCTTGAGCATCATCCAATCTTTTTTTTTTTTTTTTTTTTTTTTTTGGTATAGAGTCTCACTATGCAGCTCAGACTTGTAGTGATCCTCCTGTTTTAGCCTCACCAGAACTAGGATTACAGGTGTGTGCCCCCACATCTGGTATCAAGACTTACTTAACAAGATAATTGCTTTTGTCTTCTGAAAGTTTTGTAGTCTTTATTACCTGTAAAGTAGCAAAAGCGTACTAACAAGATTTTTTATGTCTTGACTATATTAACAATCTTCTCCTTTCCTGCAAAATAAAGTTTTTATTGAAGAGATGTCAGACAAGAGAATTTATGCTAAGATATTTGCAGTAGAGTTTTTTTTTTTTTTGTACTTTAGGGAAGGGTCTACAGGGTGTTCAGGGTCTCACTATTAGATTGGACTCAAAGTGATCTGCCTGTTTACAGCCTCCCAAGAGCTGGGATTACAGGCCCACGCCACCATGCCCAGTCTCAGTTGCCCTCTTAGTGCGCCCTGGGGGAGGGGTCGGCACAGCAGGCCCAGGGATCAAACTCCTGGCCCCTTGTAGTTGAGTTTGAAGATTATTAAAATACTGATTGTTTTTTAGTTGGGTTTGGTAAGCATAAATTCTGGCATATTAAAAGAAATCAATGATTATGTAGTGTGATCAAAATATATGGTGAATATAGAAATTTTAAAAAATGTGTTATAGCAAAAAACAGCACTATTAAGTCCCCTCACCTTGAACATGCTTAGCCCATTGCTCTTGCCACTTTCTGAAGCAGTTGTGGAAGTCCTCTCTCTCTAGTTCTTCACTAGGAGTGATAAAATCATGTGGAGTGTTGCTGCCATATGACAGGCTGGCATGTAAAAACTTCTAGCTGTTCTCCAGCATCAAACTGACCATGAAAAGTAAACATTTTGAGTACAACTAAAGATGCTTATGAAAGAGAACCTCCAAACTGCTTAAGGTGGCATGAATGGTGGGATAAGGGTGTTTGAAGTGAGGGGCATTAATGACAATATGCCTCGTACTGTAATAAGTGGTTTAAAATTTTTTTGAGACATTCATTGTATTTTTTGATCATGCCTTGTATGTTATGCCCTAACGTTTTATCTAAGAATATGATGCATTCAGTAAAACTAATACAGTTTTTTTTTTCTTCCTCAATGGCTTTCTGTTTCTCAAAGGTGGGAAAGGTCTTTATTCCTGGCCTGCCAGCTCCTTCTCTGACCATGTCCGGTGCAATGCCTCGGCCCAGCACACCGCTGGACAGTGTTAGCACTCCCAAGCCTCTTAGTAAGCTCCTTGGGTCATTGGATGAGGTAAGAAATGAATTAGGTGTTGTCAAAGATTAATAGTATCTCAAAGAAATTTTGTTAAATGTTCTTTCCATGGTTAACTTAATTTTATGTAACACACAAGTGGTTTCAAACACAATGGCTAGTTACCATACATTTCCATTCCTAGTGATGTGTGTGGTACTTTTTGAATGTGGCAGAGAAATGAAATTGGTACATTCTTTTCCATCTAAGGTTCTCACAACTTACCAAGTAGTATAGCTGGGATTTACACTGTTACTGATAAGTTCTTAAGGGTAGAAAGGATAAAAATGTGGTTTATTCCGAATACAGTTGCCTGGGCATTTGAGGCTTTTTGAGGAAGGAGTTTCAGGTGTCATAGTCTGTTTTAGGTAAATTTATATTGAGGCTAAAGATAGGGACATCGGTTAAAGTCCAAGTGAGGACTGTGAAATGCAGAGTGGGTCTGAGCCAAAGCAGGATGTATAGGAATAAAGGAAGTGACATGAGAGGGTGGAAAGGTGTTAGTGACATTTTTCAGCTGACTAGTTTTGTGCTAGGCTGATAGATGCTGTGGAAGAGACCAGGATTGTCTGAGCAGTAGGGGAGGTGCCTATGCTTTTTGAGCTAGGAAGCCTGGAGAAAAGAAGGCTATGGTTGAGAGCCATCTAAGTGCAGACATGGGGGCCAGGGAGATAGCTCAGTGCACAAGGGCCTGAGTTCAATCCCCAGTTCCGCAAAAAAAAAAAAAAAAAAGAAAAAGTAGGTAAGTGCAGACATGTAGGGCCAGTTCAGAGAGGTTTGTGTGGCACTTGTGTCAGGGAATTGAACATGTGTAGCCGTGAGCTTTTTCCTCCAAGTGAGCATATGTATGGAACCTTTAGAGGAGAAGTTGGAGAAGTGTTAGAGGATTTTATTACGTGAGTTGGAAGAATTTCTTTTATAATAAAACGGGTTTATACCCAGACACAGTGGCTCATGCCTGTAGCTCTAGCACCCTGGGAAACTGAGGCAGAAGAATTGAGCCCAGACTTGGCAACTTAATGACTTAGCAAGACCCTATCTCAAAATAATTAAAAAATGGTGTGAGGTGAGCTAAGTATGAAGGTCCTGGGTTCAATATCAGTACAGCAAAAAGAACAAAGACTTTTTTTTTTTTCTTTTTTAGGTTTCTGTATGAACCTAAGAATGATTAGTATCTCTCTGCTAACTGTGAAGTCACAAGAGACACAGTCTCCCACACTGGCCAGTGGCTTTCCCATTTCTTGGGCAGGTTATGCTGCTAGATGTGGAGCTAGGTCTAGTGGAGCTAAGTTTTTCTGGTTGACTGTTGTAGTACAAGCTAGATTGTAATAAATAGGTCTTAGGCTTGATTGGCTGTCAGTGTTCAGGTTCACTTAGAGATGTGTTGCAGTTGAATTAGCATATAAGAAGGCTCAGTGGTCATGGCCAGAGATTTAAGATTAAATTATATCTGTAGTCTAATAACAAAATCTGTTTGCATGTTTTGGTTTCATGTCTATAGTTAAGAACATAATTCTTTTTTTTTTTTTGGTGGAACCAGGGATTGAACTCAGGCCCTTGCAGTTGCCAGGGAAGCGCTTATTTTACTGAGCCATCTCCCCAGCCCAAGAACATAATTCTTATTCTTACATTTTTAATGAAATAATTTGCTTATATAGGAATGCTTCTAGTAGTCTCATTTCTTTTTCAACCAACACTCTCCTTTGTCTTCAGATTGATTCTAAGTTTCTTAAGTCACATCTGCCTCAAATGGTAGTTTACATTTGTAGCTCTGCTTCCCCGTCCTGTGAGCCACAGCTTTCCTGCATTGCCAGCCTGCCAGCCCCTAACCCGCTTCATGGAAATCACAGATCAGGGAACGCAGGTCAGGAGTCTCCACCCTGTGGTTCCCTTCTGCCTCTTAGATATTGGTTCCTTGAGTCCAGGTGGCCTCCATAGCTATTAGTTAGATGCTTTACTGTTTTAACTGTCTTTTGTAGTTTTCTGTGAAGACCTTGGTGTGCTGCAAGGTACTTGATAATAGAACAGAATGACTTTAATTGTTACACAGTCACTTGATAGACCATATACCAAAAAAAGCAAGTTAAATTTCTTTTATCCTTAATTTCTTTAAAAGTACTTCATTTGTGGTATATTTGTAACTTTACAGGCTGTGCTGTTGTCCCCAGTTCCAGAGCTGAGGGATTCTTCAAAGCTTCATGATTCTCTCTATAACGAGGAATGCACTTTCCAACAGTTTGGAACTTACATTCATTCTATCAGAGACCCCGTCCACAACAGGGTGACTCTTGTAAGTAGCTCTCTTAAAAGGTTAGGTAATTTTCTGAGAAATGTGGGGGACATTTCAAAACTATTAGGTATAGAATTTTGTCTGAAAAATGAAAACAAATTTTCATGATTTTTAAAATGAGCTGTCATTTTTGGTACTCTTTTACTATTTAGTAATTCTGCTTAAGTGTTCTGTAGTTTCTTGTTAAAATGTATTAAAATAAGCATGTTCAGGCAGTTGAGTTGTGTATTGCTAGATGGTTTTTGCCTTTTCATTGAAAGTAAGTCACTTTTGATCCTAGTAAGTAACTTTAAGTGTTTGTATAAAAATTAGTTCTTGTAACTGGGGAGGTAGGTAGCTCAGTGGTCTAAGTAACTGCCTGACAAGCGCAAGGATCTGAGTTTGATCTCCATTACCATGTGCCAGACCCTGGAACCCCAGGTGCACCATGCTGGCCACTGAAACTGGCTGTGGTGGTGCACCCTGTAATCCCAGCACTGGGGAGGCTAATACAGGAGGATCACTAGGAGTCTGAGCTGTGGTGAGACCCTGTATCACATAAATAAGTAAACACAAATAAAATTAGTTTTTATGAATACCTTATTTTTACAAATGTTTTACCAGTAAGCACCTTTATAAGATTATATTTGTTTGAAAAAGTTTTTATTTAGTTGAAATTTGCATGGGCGGTCTTTCAAAGCACTGTTTTTAAAACATTCCAAGGCTTAGAATTCTCAAATTCTTTTTTATCTTTTATTGTCCCATTGTCTTCTTTAGGAACTGAGTAATGGCTGCATGGTTAGAGTCACTATTCCTGAGATTGCCACCTCGGAATTAGGTATGATTGAGAGTCACTTTTGTGTGTTCTCAGTTTGATCTGTAGGGTTAGGAGTAATTGCTGATTTATACCAATGCCAACACCAGTTGGGATTCTAAAAATGAGTTTGCTGTTGTTGAAGCCAGGCACGCATCTTCATTTTGTAGAGAAGCTGTAAGTAGCCAGGGGTGCTGAGCTGTGTGTGCTCCCTGCGCAGTGAGGCTGAGCTGCAGGTGCATGATGACGCTCATTATGTTTCTCTGAGGTGCTTGTTTTGAGACAAGGTCTTCTGCTTTTGCTTAGCCTGGCTTTGAACTCCTGGGCTCAAGTGACTGCCATGTCATCCTCCCAAGCAGGCACACGTGTGGGCCACCTCACCTGGCTGCTCTGAGGCCAAGACGCACGTCACCAGTGTGGGAAGGTTATGTACAGGGACATGCCTCTTGCAAGAAAGTCTGTTGAATAGAAATCCTGAACAATTAACATATGTCTTGGCATATTTAATGATGTTTTTATTTAGAGTCTCTATTAGTGGAACCTTTTTTTTTTTTTTCGTACCAGGAATTGAAATGAGGGCCTTGAACTTGCCAGGCAGGTACTGTGCTGCTGAACTGTATTTCCAGCCCTTAATGATGTTTTTAATCTTAAAATAAATTTCTGAATTTTTTAGGTAAATTGAAACATTAATGCAATTGCCATGATTGGATACCAATTATTATAGTCAAAGTTTAACTGCACATATTTTAGAATTATTAGCATCTGCTTGAATCATAACTGAGGCGCAATTTGGAAGGTAGTAGCCAAGTATTTCTGGACGTAGAAGGGTAGACAAATGTTAGAGTTGATTTTGCCAACAAATATAAGAATACCTGTATAATAAAGTTCATGATGGAATAGTTTCAGAATTTAACTGTAAAAGCAAGGCAGATTGTAGACTAAAGACTTTATTTTAGGAAACTTTTTTTTGCATTTGGTCGATGATACATGAAGTTTGTACAGGGAATCCTTGCTTTTCTCAAAGGTAGCCTGAAATTGCAGGACCTAAAATAAGCCCAAATAAAATATATAAAAACAAATAAGAAGGGAAGAAATGAGTAAAGACAAAATAAGATCTTACACTTTTTAAGACAAGTAGAAATCCTATGATTCATACAGGTAAATGAATGTGGTTTTAAAGGATTCCTTAGACTTCGTTCAGTGTGTGGTTGGATTCAATGTGGTGCTCTTAGTTATGTGGCATTCTGGCATTTATTGCTACCTCCAGTCCTTGCTGTCTGTGTTCCATAGCAGATTGATGATGAGAATCCGTGCTGCTGAGGATGCACTCAGCAACAGGGACAGTGACAGCTCAAAACACAAAGCCTATAAAGGGCAGGCATGGTGGCACATGCCTGTAATTCCAGCACTGTGCAGGGTGAGGCAGGAGGATCGCTGTGAGCTTATGCTACATAGTAAGTTCAAGGTCAGCCTGAACTACATAGCGGGCGGGACCCTTTCTCAAACAAAACAGCAAATCTTGTAAGAAGAGAAAGGAAAAATCATTTCAGTTTGAGACCTGTTACTGCTAAAGCAGATCCAGGCCCTTCACAATAGTTCTCACCATCTCTGGGTCACCACATGACAGTGTAGTGCTGTAACCAGTGTTCACACTAGGGACTGTTGTTAAGAATGCTTTAACTTACATGGTATTCTAATCCATTTAAGATACAATGTGTGAAGACATTGTAGAAACTGAGTGTTATCTGAAATAATGGAAAGTTGTAAAGCTTTATTGATAGGAATGTTCACTCATGTAGAAGATCTCAATACTAGCTGAGCATTGCTATGTGTGATGCGTGTATTTTATATTATGTATTTATTAAATTATTTAAGCAGTATTTCATATAAATTTATTGATGTAGAAATTGTATGTTTTGGGCTGGGGAGATAGTTTGGTGGCACAAGTGCCTGCCTGGCAAGTGCAAGGTCCCAAGTTTGATCCTTGGCCTCACATGCTGTGTTGGTCCTGGAACCAAGCATGGTGGTGCACGCCTGTAATCCTAGTGCTAGGGAGGCTGAGACAGGAGAAACACTGTGAGTCTGAACTGTGTAGCAAGACCCTGTATCAAAAATAAAATAAAAAAAAAGAAATTGTATGGTTTTCAGAATGGCCTTTATTATCCAAATCAAAAAATTTTTGAGGGCAGGCCAGATAGCTCAGTGGATTAAAGTGCCTGTTTAGACAGACGCAGGGGTCGGATGTTCGATCCCTGGCCTGCCTTTCTGGCTGTTCCCCTGGGGCGTGCTGAGCCTGCAGTTGAGACTGAGTGTGATGGTGGGTGCCTGTAATCCCAGCATGTGGGAGGCTGAGAACAGGAGGATCACTGTGAGTCTGACCTGTGTAGTGAGACCCTGTAGACCCTGTACTAAATTAAAGAAAGAAAGAAATTTTTTTTTGAGTCAAAAGGCAAGAAATTATTAAATGTTGGGCTTGTTGGTATGAGTCAGAGTTGTCTCAGTGAATTAGGCTCTTTTCTTGCTTATTTCTGATCCAGAATTAATGATCAGACAGCTGCCCTCAGACCTCTTGCAAACTCTAATTCATTAACTAGTTCACATTTCAGATGATTGCCTGGGTGATACTTGCCTTGGCTCCTTGGTTCTTTAATGACAGTTCTCTTTTCACAGTAGTTGGCTTGTGCATACTAATAATTTGAGTAGTAATAATATAACAACTTTCTTATTGAAAGGGAGAGAAATGCATGCATAGGAAGCATATTAAGATTAATCTTTGCTTTTCATAGTACAAACATGTTTACAAGCGATTAAGTTTATCCTGCCAAAGGAAATAGCAGTCCAGATGCTTGTGAAGTGGTACAATGTCCACAGTGCTCCAGGAGGACCCAGTTACCACTCAGAGTGGAGTTTGTTTGTGATTTGCCTCATGAATATGATGGGTTATAACACAGACCGCTTAGCATGGACCCGAAATGTAAGTAGTTGTTTTCATGAACTATTGAGCACATAAGAAATAAGTTTAGTAATAGTTATACATAATTTGAGCATTGAATACCAGAGCTTATAGTATTTGTATGTCATTTAATACATAACAATGTTAATAATTATATTTTTGAATCTTTATAATGTTCTATAGCATGTTTAACTCTCTCATTTTATCTTTGTAAAATGACCTCAAGTTATGCTGGGATTGATAGGTTTTTTTTTTTTTTTTTGATAAACTGAATCACAGAGAGATCATAGACTTGTGATTTGCTCAAAACAGACTAGATTCTGTCTTCTGAGTTAGGATTTAATGTTCTTTTCTGTAGATAAGACTGTTATTTTTTTGCTTGTGCTGGGAACCAAACTTAGGACCTTATACTTGCCAGGCAGGCACTTATGCCATTGAGTTGTATCCTCAGCCCAAGACTATTTTTTTGTGCACATTGCTTGGTGTGTGAGGAGGCAGGCTTGATTCTAGGTGGATTTAAAGAGTTAGCTTGCGTTACCTGTCCTGTCAGTGTCACTAAGCTATATCTTTCACCTTCTTCCCCCAGAATAGTTCTTGGTAAATAATCCCCCGTGGATTATTTACCAAGTAAGCATGTCTTCAGTATTTTTGCTCCAGATTACTCCCAGGACAACCTTGCCTGGGTCACTGCAAAAGTCGTTCTAGAACACACAGAACCTTTGTCCAGTACTGTACCCACTGGTTCATTTTAGTCTTGGGCTAGCAAAGACATCTTTGAAAATCAGTCTTCATTATGGAGGTGTATATACTTGCTGAGGAAAATTTAGAAAACTGAACAACTAACAAAATTATACTATTTAGTATAATTCATACATTAAATATATTTAATATAACTTATTATACTACTAAATAATTATTCTAAGTACTATTGTTTAGAAATAATTATCCTAAATATTTTGATGTTGCCTTTTAAATGAAAATGATATCAATGAAAATTTCCTATCTTTAAAATTTGTTAAAGAGGGCCGAGGAGATAGCTCAGTAGAATAAGCGCTTGCCTGGTAAGTGCAAGGTCCTGAGTTCAATCCCTGATACTACAAAAAAAGAAAAAAAAATTGTTAAAGAAAAACTCATTATTTTATTATAATTTAGTTTTTATCATCACTAGCCAACATTTAATAGTTGGTTATTGTTGAGTTTTTCTTATGAGTGATTTGCAAACATCATTTTTCATATAAACATTTACATATACCCCCTCTCACTTCCTGGCATGACGTCTTAGTGAGGTAGGGAGTTGTGTTGAGTTTTGGTCATTCTTCTCTCCCAGGACCTGTAGAAGAGCCTGGCATGGGTCACTATTCAGAGAGCCTTTGATGACTCAGTGCTCTGGACATCGTTTTTTTTTTTTTTTAATTTTATTTATTTATTTATTTGTGTGTGTGTGTGTGTGTGTGTGTGTGTATGTGGCCAGCTCAGCCCACCAGGGGGCGGGGCTGGCTGGCATGTGGTGCTGGGGGATTGAACCGCGGTCCCAGCGCTTTGCTGAGCTTGTTCTAAGTAGGTGCTTTAGACCACTGAGCCATCTCACCAGCCCCTGGACATCATTTTTGAGAGCTTGTGTCTGTTGTGGCATGTGAAAGACCTGCCCTCTGCACTTTACACGAGAAAAGCCTTAACTGAGAGAACAAGGAAATTTTTCTTTTAAACAATGGCAGTAAAGCTACCTACCTCATCCCCAATTATTCCATTTTTTATTACATATGGAAAGATTAAATCTTATAGAAAGAGTACTTCTAGATTACAAATAAGTGCACTTGCGCTTTTTGTAGTTCATTTATATAGTACTGATGCACAGAACTTGTTGGTGAAGGTAGACTGATGTGCCCAATGTCTGGTGGAGGGTGATTCCCTCTCATCTTTCTGTGTTGTGGGGAGCATCCAGCACCCACTGTTTTTTCTTCTTTAGAGAAGGACATGGCTTGCTGACGTAGGAGTATTTATAGTACGGTAGTCTAAAGCAGTGGTGTTGAGCCTAGGGGCACACATGCCTCTATCACTGAAAGTGCTAAATGGTTGGTCATCATTGGTCTGAAGGAAGGAAGAAGAAAAACCAGGGCCTTACTATATTTCCTAAGCTAGGCCCCGTCTCCTGGGCTCAAGCAGCCCTCCCATTTTGGCCTCCTGAGTAGCTGGGATTAGAGGTGCTGCCACTGTGGCCTGCCTGGAATTCAGTTCTGGAGGCTGAATTGCTGTTACATTACATTTCTTTAGAGGACTGTATAGTTAAAGCCTTGCTGGTTTTCTTTTGTGCCCATGATTGAGGTTGGGAATAAAGTGGGCCTCATTGGCAAATAGTTTTCATTTTGCTTTGTTCAGATTTGCCCCTTTTGTTTTAATTTAACTGGTACACCAAGCAGCATTTCTTTCTTTCCTTTTTTTTTTGAGCAGCATTTCTGCCAATGAGTTAATCTTTTTTTTTTTTTAATTTTTTATTTATTTGTGTGTGTGTGTGTGTGTGTGTGTGTGTGTGTGTGGCCAGCTCAGCCCACCAGGGGGCGGGGCTGGCTAGCATGTGGTGCTGGGGGATTGAACCGCGGTCCCCGTGCTTTGCTAAGCTTGTTCTAATTAGGTGCTTTAGACCACTGAGCCATCTCACCAGCCCCGAGTTAATCATTTTTAGTATTTCTTTGTGCTGGAAGTACCTAGAGGTTCTTGTCCTGCTGCAGGCATAGTATAATCTGTCATTATGCAAAATGGAAAGCAGAGGGAATGATGTCTGCAGTGCCTGGGAGTGCAGGCACCGTTCTGGTGCTTTACATTTATGATTGAATTTCATCTTCATGAAGACCTAGAAGAAAGATTTATACTATAATTTTCTTGGTGGAAAATATAAATTCCAATGGCTTTCCTCAGTTTCTAACTAGCAGAACTGATTTCTAAATCCTTTTAAGTTGATTAAATGACAATAATAAATTTATGATTTTGCCTTCTCTTTTGGGTTATTTTCCAGTTTGACTTTGAAGGATCACTTTCTCCTGTCATTGCTCCCAAAAAAGCAAGGCCCTCTGAGACTGGATCTGATGATGTAAGCATTGTTATTTTTGCCAACAGAAATTGATTTATGGTACTTATACAGTGGTTTCCTGTCAGTTTGTTTTTTGCTAACAGTGCCTCTTGCTTTATTTATTTTAATATTAAATAACAATTATTTTGAGTGGTAGGATCTGTTATGCTTTGTGAGACCATCCATTCATTCATCATCTGAAGGTTACCATCAGTTTCATTCAGCACAGTGTTTTAGAGATTCATCCTTATTGTTACAGGTCCAGGTCTTCCTTTTTATTGCTGCCTGTGAATGTGCCATAGTCTGTTTCTCCATTCTGCTGCTGATGGGCATCTAGGCTGTTTCCACTTTTGACTTTTCACAATAATAATGCCTTGAACATTTGGTAACAGGTCATTGTGGACATAACCATTTTATTTTTCTTGGATAAATATCAGTGAAATTATTGGGCTGTTGCTGGTTTGTACTCTTTGAGCAATAATGGTGGAGGCTCCTCTTTGCATCCCCCAAGGTTTGCTGTGGTCAGTAATTGATTTTGACCATTTGAGTTGTGAAGTAGTTTCTCTTAGTTTTTTAAAAAAATTAATTTTACTTTAGTTTGAAAAGTAAAAAAAGTGAGTACAAAAACCGGAAACAAAGATAGCAATAGGGTAACATAAGACAACACATATGTTACAGATTTTCAGAACAAGAATAGCTGATTAACAGTGGTTGGTATATTACCTATTTTTAATCTTTTATTCATTTTAATGAGAAAAAAAGATAAACTAGCAATGAAACAGTTTCAAAACAGGTTAGTATGACAGTGACAATAATTAATACATTGCATATTGTCTTCATAGTAGTTACTAGAGGGCAAGATGTAGACATGATATGTTGTCTAAGCAATATTAGTACAAACCTTCTCATCGAACTAAGAGAAAGTAGCTGTATATCTATCATATCTTGTATATACCTATATATATATTTTTTTTTTCCACTGCAAAACAATCCCTTATTTATATCCCTCTTTTTCTTAGTGGTTTTAATTTACCCTTCTTTGATGCCCAATGAGGTTAAGCA